TCACCTATCTCAAAACTACTTTAACGATTATATTAAATGAGATTAAATTATTAATTACTTTACACAGGTTTACATTTGTGTAGCAGGTCAAAATAGAGTTAACAAAATTGTAAGTACTACTAGTAATTAACAGGGTTTGGAGGATATATGTCACGTTATATATCGTGATATTTATACCTTGATATATATCCGATATATTCGATAATTTTATTTATTAAATTAAAAATGTTTTCCACCATTCTAAAATCTCTCAATACGCTTCTGTTGGAAAAGTATATTCGCCGTGCCAACTTTGGGATTCCCAGCTTCTCCACGATTTGTTTTGTTTTGCTGTTTCAAGTGTATGAATCAAAATATAGACAAAAAGAAAACCAACTCTGACTGGGCATGGGAAAAAGCCATATCTGAAGATTATCACTAATAGGAATAACATTATTGATATTAATAATTCATCAGAAGCATCAGATGAGGATATACCAATATCAATGTTAACAAAATAATGTTAAAATATGTTTAATAAAATGTTTTGTTGTTTAGAATTTAAAATATAGGTTTTTAATTATGTGTTATATTATTTTTGTTTTTTCTTTTTAATTTGAGTTAGAATAAAAGGTTTTGTTGTTTAGAATATAGGTTTTTGTTTCGGTTTTTGTTAAAATTTAAAACATAGTTTGTTCAAAAAACAATACTGTTTTTAATTAAATAATTAAATTTTAAAAATGATATATAAATATCATGACATTTTCGAACCCTGGTAATTAAAGATAAAAACACAAAGTATATGACTTAGACTTAAATAAAAAAGGAGAAAGATAAAAATGAACTAAAAACCACATTATTTTTAAATTTATTATAAGGTGCACTTTTAAATAATTGGTTAGCCTGTTAAAAATATTGAGATCTAAACTGTTGCCTAATTTGAAATGTTTACTAAATTATTTGAATTTCTTGGGGAAAATGTATTAATATTTTTGATTTATTCAAGAAGAGGTTGTTATATACATGGCTGGAACAGATTTAATTTGTAAGAGAAGTATGTACAACATTCAACAATATAAACAATTTCAAGAACAACCATAAACAGCAGATTTGCAGAATGCTATCTATACATTTATTTGGTCATAGATAGAATCTGATATGCAATGGCGTAACCATGGGGAAAGGGGGTAAGGAGGTCGGAACCCCCCATGGAGGGCCTTCGCATCACCGTTTCTGCTAACTTACTGGCGCTGATCGCTATTAACTGTTTGTTAACCCCCATAGTTCTCAGAAACTTCTCCCATGAAAAATGTCTGGCTACGCCGCTGCTGATATGCAAGTTAATTATGCATTGCTGTTGCATCTAGTCGTTAATAAATCTTTTTTCTGTGTATTTTTGTTATGTAAACTTAAAATGAATGTCCCACATATTATGGAGTGCCTACATATCTATGACTTAACCAATAAATGTGATAATGAGTATTTTAATTTTAAAAGATGGGTACTTATTTGAAATAAAATCTGTATATGAAAAAGATCCACAGAAATGTTAGGAAACAGCTGCTTGTAAGAAATTATGATGAATTTTTTTAGTGATATTGATCTTGTACCTTTGTGAATTTTTACGTTTTATTTTAATAGGTGGCCATATTTTATACACTTTTATATTTTAATAAAAGCAAATAGATGTTAACATTATTAAAATATATTTTTAACAAAACACTATTACTTCCACTTATTAGCACGTTGAGTACAGTGTGGCATTTAATGTATATACAATACAATATCTTTATTTACCTGAGAAAATATTACATTTTATGGCTCGTCAAATTACAATTAAAACTAAATATATATAAAATTGAAATTTACCTAAATATAATAATATAAAAATATAAAATTGAAATTTACAAACATTTACAACATAGTTCACTGAATCACTCAGAGGCCACAGTGACAGCCTCCATCCTCCATCTGTATTGATATAAATTCATCTAAGCTATATAGGCAATTATTGGATAACATTTAAGTTTTAATGCATGTTTAAATTTATCTATAGGCTGATTTCTAAAATTAAGTGGTAGTACATTGTATAGGTCAATATAATATTTCTTTGTCCTTTCCAGTCTATACTGGATAGGGACTAAGTTATCTTTGTGCCTTGTATTATAGTTATGGATATCTGAGTGGGAAAAAAATGTGTTAATAATATTTCTTATGAATAGAAGGTTGTGATAGATTATTACTGCATAGAGTGTCATAATTTTAAGTTCTGGGAATAATGGTCTACAACTGGCTTGCCAAGAAGCACATGTTATGGCTCTTATGGCTGATTTTTGCAAAATAAAGACTCTTGAGATATGTGTGTCAGCAGCATTGCCCCAACATATTGTCCCATATGTCAAATGACTGAAATAGAGCATAGTAAGCAGTAATTGCTGCATCTTGACCACATATTTGGCATATTTTCCTGATAGCAAAAACTGCTCGTGATAATTTGGAACAAAGTGCTTCAATATGATCTATCCATCTGAGATGTGGATCAATTTGAATGCCAAGTGTTTTAACAGAATTGTTATTAATTTGTTCACTATTTACTGTAAATAATTGGGAGATAGTTTTTGTGTCAATTAAAAACAGGTCATTTACAGAAAACCATCTCTTTGCCTGAATCATGACACCAGAGTAAACTTGATCATGATCTGTTCCTCTTTTAGTATTAATACAAAAAGAAGTATAATCAGCAAATATACATGTGATAAGGTTTTCAAAATGCATATGGTCAGGAAGATCATTAATGTATATCAAAAAAGAGTAATGGACCTAAAATTGAGCCCTGAAGGACACCTCTCCTGATATGCATCAATGAACTTTTGCAATTTTCGATGATGACTGTTTGACATCTGTCAGTTAAATAAGATTCAAAAAGCTGTAAACAAATCCCTCATACTCCATACCTCTCCAGTTTTGATAATAGAATTGAATGATCCACACAGTCAAAACCAGAGCTTAGATCTGTAAATACACCTAAACAGTTTTCAGATTCTTCAAAACAATTTTCTATATATTGTACTAGAGATAATACTGCATCTATTGTAGATCGCCCCCTTCTAAAACCATACTGGAATGGCGTGAGTATGTTGGAAGAATTTAAATATATTAGATTATTGTACATATTTTTTTCCAAGATTTTGGAGAATAAGGGAAGTACAGCAATTTGTCTGAAGTTGCAAGGCTGAGAAGGGTCTCCTTTTTTAAATAGAGGGCAGATCTTAGCAATTTGCATGCTATCAGGAAATATTCCTTCAGTTAGACAAGCATTTATAATTATAGTTAAAGGTTTAGACAAAAAATAAATACATTTTTTCATTATAAAATACATTAAATCCATCAATATCCTCTGTTCTTTTATTTTTTAAATCTTTTACAATTGATTCTATATTGGTTTGGGTAACTGGCTGAAAAAACATTGAATTTTTTAATTGTGGTATATTTATAAAGGAAGTAGCAGGTATATCTGGTTTCTCTAGATTCTGAATTATGTTTTCCGCATTATTAATAAAAAAATTATTAAGATCTTCAAGAGTTAAATTTTCTGGCTTTGTATTTGTTTTATTTCGACCAATTTCTTTGTTAATAATATTCCACAAAGTGCTTGTCCTTTTTGAGACTGCAAGGCATCAATATGATGCCACACTTGTCACAGTCATAAACTTAGCAAGGACGGTGTGGTTTCATTGTAGGCCTACCTATAATGCTATAAACATAGTAATTCGCTGTTAGCTGTCTATATTAATATAAAAGTTTAGCTGGCCTTGAAAATAATAGACAAATTTTATGGGGAGGCATCACAGTTAAATAAAAAAAAATATTTGACAAAAACTTAGTTGAAACAACATATAAATTAGGCTTTATCAGAGTAATATGAGTGTCAAACAATTTCCTGTACTCTGACATGACTTTTTTCTTCACTTCCATACTCAACGTATTAAATTGTAGTATTTATTTAAGGCTTTATAGATATTTGCATAAATAGATACATCACATAAAACATTAATTATATTTTTTTATAAATGTAGAGATTTGTTTTTATCAATCCTGGTTATATCTATATGTAAACATAATTTATTGTCCATTAGTTAGTTAAACACTTGAGTAAAAATGCCTATTTCACATTAATCATTATTGAATCAAATTTTAGGCAATACCAACCACTAAATTGTGGTTAATCTTTGGGTAAGGCATAGGTATTCACCTGACTAAACTAAGTACTTGGGTGACAAATTCCTTTGTGTTTGTACTTTATTAACATTATTTAAGTATTCTTAACTAATAAGAAGTAAAAATATATCTGTTGATCCATGCATATTTTATTTTTAGATCAGAGTATTTTTTTGCAACATTGACATATATATTACACTCTTGACACTGAGCTATCTAAAAAGTAAACAAATTAGGTAAAAAATTGCTGTATTCTCTCTGTAACTTCTGGGTCATGAATGTACATCAACATTCTGTTGAGAAGTAATAGATGTTTGAAATGCAATTTCTATTTTTATTGATCATGAATATTTATTACAACAGTTTTGTATAGAGATTTATTATAAATGAAGTGGAAATACTTACAAAACGATTTTAATTAGCGTTTGACATTTTGTAAAACATGTGTTAAAAATTTTGGTAAAATATCCATTCATGTAAAGACAAACACACATTAAACTCATTTATTAGGTATATTTACTAAAAAATCGTAAAAAAACAAAGGCTAAGTAACTATGTATACATGAAAATTGTCTGAAAATGAAACTAACAAATGTAAATATTTGTCAATGTATCATGACTTGGTAGGGAGTGATTTTATATCCTACAAAACTGATTTTCGAATTTATCCTATTTATCCATTTATAATAGCGATGTTAGAACATAAACACGTTTAAGCAATTGAATTAAAATTACAGGTCAAAGTTACTACCAAAAGATTCGTTCTTAATCCCAATTCCAGGAAGGGGTACTTATTTACTCACCTGTACGGCGGTCGCAAATCCAAGGAGGACTGCCCAACACAATAAGCTCTGTATCCTAAAATGCATCACTAATATTTTGCAGTCTTTAGTTTGTTATATGCTGTAACTTAAATAATAATAATATGGCACGACATAAAACACAACCCACTACAACATCGAGTAGAGTACACTGATCAATGGTCTAACCCGAATGGTATTGGGCGCGCGTGCGTCAACAACTTGAAATGCCCGGCTAATTTGAATTTTGTCTTAATTCAAACATGTACATTTCAGGTTTCTTATTTTATTTACTCACTAATTTGTTTCACTGTATTTAGAAATATGCCACTAAAAGTGAATTTTATTCGATCAAATTGAGATATTGAAGTGCCATTTAAAAAGACAATACGCTGATTCGGAAATTTCAAAATTATTTAAGAACTATAAATCACCAATTTTTAAACAATACCTAGATAATTACAGCTCATTGTGTATAATGATAATTATTATTCTAAATTAAATGACGATATTTAATTTGTCGCGAAATTTCTTACGATAACGCGATTTTAAAATACGCGCAAATATGCATGTAGGACAGGTTTTGACAGCTATGTCGACCTTCGAGTAAGGGCCTTTTCAATGTTGCCGCACCTACATCTGTCATTGTTGCTACATACCTAATGGATGAAATATGCAATCAAACATAAACCAGCGTATGTTGTATTGCCTACGCGGTGGAGGGAAAAACCACCGACCTTGTGAAGTACAGTGCTGTATATAGTTTATAAGAATTTTTTATACACCCACATGGATGTTCTATGTACATACCATAGATAAATCAATATTAACTTGTCTATGGTACAGACTGCAAAACGAAAAATTTAATATATTTCATATCATTCTACCTACCCAGTATAAGAACACTGCACGAATATGAAATCAACCAATCACATTTCATATTTGGTTACCATATACTACTATTATTTATTAAATTTTAAATAAGTGACGATTCCCAACAAACATTTTGTGTAGGGGAATAAAAGTCCCAATAACTGTTAACTTCCACCAGACTTCACAAGCTTCTCGCCAGAGATCCGGAACAGGAAATAGGCTCGATAAAAAGACCCGACAACACCTATGCGGATCCTGACAGGGAAACGTTAGAAATTCTTTCACAGAAACACTTCCTAGGCAGTTGAATCCTGGACAGGCAACATGTACCCCTTCCTTATTTAAGGGAGTCGATCATACGACTTATAAGAAGGAGGACTGGAACTTCATTGCACAAGTTGTCTCTGCAAATGCCGTGAAATGGGCGATGAATTCATTCTCCCCTTTCAAATCAACAGGAGATGATGGCATATTCCCTGCAGTTTTGCAAAATGGACAGGAACTCTTGCTACGCCTCCTTGTGAGGCTGTTTAGAGCAAACCTGGCGTGTAGCTATATCCCGCTAGGATGGACGATGGCGAAAGTTGTATATATTCACAAGGCTGGTAGAGTAGATACCACTCTACCAAACTATTTTCGTCCAATCTACCTAACATCCTTTCTTCTAAAACCAGTAGAGAGGATTCTAGATAGGCATATTAGAGAGGGACACCTTTGGACAAGCCCGTTAAACTCCTCCCAATATGCCTACCAAGCAGGCAAATCGACAGATAATGGCCCTGCACAATCTAGTAGGCAAAATCGGTCATCCCCTAAATCTCGGGGAGATTGCGCTGAGTGCCTTCCTAGACATAGAAGGCGCGTTCAACAACACCCTTACTCAGCCTCTGTAATTGCATCAAAAGAATGCTATAGGCTATAGGCTACCAAAGGTGGGTAGACAATGCAAAGAAGAACTAAGATGAGTGAGATTAATAACCATCACACCCTCGGCATGGTCTTGGACTCGCTAGTTTCCCGACAACACATAAAAAAGCCATACAGCGTCCTCATTCCAACGAGAGACGTATGTATGGCCCTGCTCCATGCGTCTCTCCCAGGCGGGCTATGCCTTGTATACGGACGGCTCCAAAATTGAAAAAGAAGTAGAAGCGGGAGTTTTCGGCCAGAGGAATAGAGTTGAGATATAAATAAACCTAGGCTCTCTGGCCACGATCTTCCAAGCTGAAATTATTGCTATAGAATTTGGAGCGAGATAATTGATTAATTTTCTCTCCGCAAACAAGACTATAAAGATCTTTTCGGATAGCAAGTCAGTCCTCAAGACCCTGAGCCCCAGTCGAATTAACTCAAAGCTGGTTTGGAACTGTATAAAAGCTAGTTTGGAACTGTATAGAAGCTGGTTTGGAATTGTATAAATACCCTTGAATGTATCGGTGCCCGGAACAAAATTGCTTTGATCTGGGTTCCCAGACACAGCGGTGTGGAGAGAAATGAAAAAACCAACGCGCTCGCTAAAAGAGGAACCAAATCTGAGTTCATAGAACTAGAACCATTCCTGGGCATTGCAAAGAGCACTCCAACAGAAATTATCTCAAAATGGACGGAGGGTGCAACGCTCACGAACTGGAGAGATATCCCAGGGCTAACTCATTCGAAGGGGTTTATAACCAATCCCTCTATGAACGTCTCTGCTCAGATCCGATAATTGAGTAGAAAAAATCTACGCATTTTCACGGGACTAATGACAGGACACTGCCGTCTGGGCAACCACATGAGAAGGATAGTTCTACAAAAAAACATCGGACTATCGATTCTGCAGCGTGGAAGAAGAATCAGCAGAGCACATTTTATGTACCTGTTCCGCTTTGAAAAGAACCAGGTTCCATATCTTCGGATTTTCCCGACTGGAGCCTACCCGCGACTTTAAACCAATTCTACAATGGCCTTCATCAAAAGGAGTGGCTTGTACGGTCAACTATAAGTTAGTCATGGGCCTCAATAGATCCATCTGGGTCGCAGTGAAAGGCGATGAGATCATCCCACTCATTTTCAATCTAACCTTACCTATTACACTCCAATTGTAATGATGACCATTTAACTTTTATAAATAAAAGGCTAGCATACGGCCGACAGTGGGGCCGAAGTCACTTAGCAATCAAATCCAGTTAATAGGCCTCCGACTAGAAATAAATATATTGACAATTATTGGTCTAGTGATGATAAGTTACCGGAAAATCGCTGGCCTTTTAGGACAAAAGTTAGAAAGGCTTTTGGTAGGTAGAGAGGTGGAAAACGTCAAACCCCGTCTGACGACTCACGGTAATTTTTATTCGCCAGAGTCGTATCATAGAATAAAAATAATACCAATCATTTTAAGTGATTACCGGCGTAATCGGGAAATTGTATCTTTGTGGGCTAGAAATAATTTAAGTAAGTAATAACATCCCAAATCATAATATGTTTGACAGGTCGTTGGAATGCTTTAATGTTGCCGCATCCTTCGAGCATATATATAATCTCGAAGGCCGCAACGACTTTTGTCATTGTCGCTCCTTATGTTGTCGCTACATAATGATGGATGAAATATGCAATCAAACATGTACCAGCGTATGTTGTATTGCCTACTAAGTGGTGTAAGGAAGACTGAAGTGCTGTATTATTGTATAAGTAGATATATTTATTCAATGATTATACTATAATAGTTTATAAATATGCAATAGGTAAATTAGGTGGATTACAAAACGAAAAATTAGGCCATTGCGTTCAACTGAACGAATATGTTGCATATCCAGTCTCACTACCTAGAACACTGCAAGAATATCACAGAGTTCATATTTAATTACCGCAGGCTATTATTTTTTTTTTACATATTAAATAAGTTACAATTATGTCAAATTAATTTTCAGTATCTTTTTTAGTTATTGAGATTAAATATAAAAACTAGAATAAAGATATATAATGCTTAACCTCCATTTTCAATCATATTTTTTCAGAATTAATAAGCTTCATTCCCTTATAAAACTTGATTTTTTTGAAGATTTCAATTTAATATCGTTTTTCATTTTTTGTGTATTTGTTTTAAATTTCAAACCCCCTTAAATACCCCACTTTTAACCAGATTTTTCAAAATCAAAGAGTCTATCTTTCCCCTTATACATCTTGATTTGATATCATTTCTGTTTTTGTTGTTTTTGAGTTGGATTTTTTTTTATATTTCAACCCCCCTCCACTCCCCATTTTAATTCAGATTTTTTATAATAAGCTTAATCTTCTTAAAGAGTTTAATTTTTACTAAAAATTTCATGTTGATATCGCTTTTCGTTTTCGATTTACGATTTTTTTTTTAATTTTAACCCTCGCGTATCGGGGACAACACTCATGATTTGTAATTGCTGTGGTAGGAGGTGTTTGTGCGAATACGTCTTGTTTGTTTTCATTTACGCCGTGACTAGCAGTAGTATTTTATAAACCTTAGAAGCAAATTTCACATACATGAACAAATAATAATAATGCCGTGACAAGTGACAACAAGAAGTCGAAGCAACGACTTTTCGTAGGGTGGCGGCTTTACTGGATTGTCCGTATCGCATTCAAACTATAATCAGTCCTCCTACGAAGGCCATAATATTCACTCTTGTTTTACTTTTCTGTCTGTATACAGATTAAAGGAAAGTATAGGTATGATTTTTTGGACCTCGAGTTTTCGACGGATTTTTATAATTTGGGGTCTCCTGAATCCGTTTTGACTATTTTCGAGATGATGTCAGTGTTCATTTTGGGCATAGTCGGAACATCTGGGGGATAGGTGGTCGTTTTACTACTTTATGGAATAAATCTGTTATTTACGCATGGATAAGAATTTTTTTTAAATAAAAGTTATTAATATAATTCTCTATAATTCTTGTCCTATAAACGATTTCTCTAAAATATGGACCTTATTCGAGATATTTGAGAAAAATTGCAAAAAACGAATAAAGAAAACACCACAAATTTTAAATTTAAGCTTTAATCCATCCTGCGGTGAGCTGATTAAATTTTGGGCACAATCGAAGCATCTAGTGGTATATACTTTAGGGAATACCTCTGTTATTTATGATTGGAGATAATTGGATATTTTACAACATAACCCGTTTAGTTACCTCTTGTGTAACATTTATAGCATGTTTCAGAAACATTTTCAGTGAAATATATAACTAAAATATTTCAGAGAAATTCCAGAAATATTTCAGAAAGTGGTGCTTGGAATGAAATTTTTCTGAAACACTTATGAAATAATGTGTGCTGTATGGGATATTGTCACCGGTGAGAAATATTACATTGTAAATAAGGCATATAGAAAAAGAAAATATACTGGAAGAACTAAACAAAAAACATTACTAGAAGTAAGTACCGATGTTAGGTAATATAAAGAAAAATAGTTTGTGGTATATTTAAATAAAAATTTGTATATTGTAGTTATTATATATCTTACAATATAGTAAATAAAAAAAAAAGATAGAATTTTATGTTGTAGTTTATTTTTATAAATCAGATCTGATGATGGAGATGAAGAAACCTCTTTTGTATAGGATATCAAAATGTCTGTAGCCTCTGGCAGCATTGCAGTCTGCGGCTTATTATAATACCATTTGAAGGTCCTCCTACTTTTCCCATTCACCAATTCAGTCTCTCATTCACCGTCATTCAGTTTACGTTGTCGAAGGTTAAACGCTATAGTCCCATGGTGGAACATCCCAGCGATCACCTATCCACAGGGTAGGTACTGATTGTATATTTTGTGTCAATAAAACACAAGTATCAACTTTATGTAAATGTAATTTTAAAAAATATTTTCCATTTTATATCAAGTTTACATTTCTTATGATTAGGCACATAATTAAAACAAAAATTTAAATAAACATTTTTAACCAAAACAGACATTCATTGTTTTTTCAAAAAACTGTTATATACAGAATAAAAAGTAAAGTATTTTATAATACTATAAGTTTACTTTTCTTATAATTAGTCACATAATTAAAACGAATTTTACAGAACAAAAATTTAAATAAACATTTGTGACCAAAACAGGCATACATTGTTTTTTAAAACTGTTATATACAGAATAAAAAGAGAAGTATTTTATAATACTATTTATATAATGGCTTTTTGAGTAAAAAAAGAACAATTTAACAATTATATATATATTTATATAAAAATAAAATTAATTAAATAACTAAACTTCTACTTTAAATGGCGAACCAGGGATATGATCGTCACCCCATTTCACTATTACTAAATAGTCACCCCTATCACGAACCATGTAATTGACGGCATATTGATTATGTCCTTGGTGTTTTATAAATACTTCTTCACAGGGTCCTTTAGGACCATGAATACCCACAAACAAGATGTTCACACCTAAAACAAAATATATATAATATCACATACATAACTTTTATATTTATTACAATATAAATATCAACCTTCTTAAGTCGGCACTACAAGAGTAACTTTTTTATTATTAGTTTTATGCAAAATAGTTATGCTTTATAAAAGTTCGGCATGGTCTAAAACACAAAAAACAAACATCAGATATAAACTTTTGCAGTCATGTACGAGGTTTATCGAAACATATGAATTTATTGAAAACTGTTTTCGAGAAAAGTTGATCAGAATTGAAAATTGCGGTCAGATATCCAATATTATCCATCTACTATGAAAAACAGTTTTATAATTTGCAATATCAAATAATGTAATTATTCCTAACTATTAAAAATCGTTTTTTCATGGTAGGTGCCTACCTTGCATAAATTTCATATTTTTTGACAAACCTCGTATATGACTGAACAATATTGATATCTGAAGGTTGCAATTTAGGTTTTAAACTATGCAAACTTTTTATGAAGAATAACTTTTTTGCATAAAACTAATAATACATAAGTTTCCCATATGGTGTCGACTGTACACACTGTATTAAAATTTTGTAGGACTTGGACCAATGTTCTCTTCCCTAGATTATTATTCTAACAATTTGTTTAAATTAAAGAGAATAAGTTTTACTAACCAGCATTTTGAGCCGATATTGTGAATTGGTTCTGTTTTCCTAGGTATGCTTTCTTCAGTCCCATTCCCTTAGATTGTACTTTAGTGGCGTCACTCTTGAACTGTGGCAACGTTGGTCCTTTATTGTTATTGGCTTTTCCCACTTTCGCTACTGTCTCTACTACCACCGACGATGACTCTTGGCCACCAATATCTGCTACTTTTTTGTCACCTGGAAAATTAATAATACATCAACAAGTGCGAACAAGAATAATAAGTCAACATGAAAGCTTAAATAGGAGGAGCAAGAGAATAAAGGAACTGACGAGATCGATACGACAACAGAAGAAGTTTGTATAATAAAGAACAATAAGGAAATATGCAGAATTTCAATTAAGGAAGAGGGATCAACCTATATCGACAAAAGATTATCTTTGATGGTCCGCTACCTTCAAGTTGAAGGGTATGAACAATTTAAGAAAGATACCACTCTTGAATTCTAGTGACGAATCGTGTAGATATGTAGAATAGAGAATCCTGGGACAAATGAATACTAACCTTTACTCGTCACTTTGAATGGTGATCCGACTATGTGATGGTTGTTGTATTTTATACTAATATAGTAGTCTCCTGGCGCTAAAGGTGTGTATCGAACTTTGTAGCCTTCCTCCACTTCTGTGCAGTCCATGGATACCTTGCTAGGACCATCAATGTTGACAGCTAATGTGCCACTGCCTGCGTTCACAGTGTCGACTATGAAATCAGTTTTCATTCCTGAAAACAGTCAATATTAATATAAAATTTTAAAATATAAAAATAATCTTATGTCTTACCAGTTTTTACTTCTTTAAGCCCATTTCCACTGGCGTGTACAGCGGCAGGATCGGCAGTGTCTTTGCCTACCTTCACGCTGAAAGGAGAACCAGGAATGTGAACTCCGTTGAATTTGGCGTGGATCTTGTGAACGCCATTTTCCCTAGGCATAAACCTGACTGAATATTCCTCCATGTCAATTATTTGGACGAAACAATCATCTTCGTGACCCGATGGTCCAATAATCTGGAATTATACTTTATGTTATTAAAGTTACACCAGAAGTAAAAGAAATAAAGGGACCTAGAGCAGCTAAAATCATCTCAAGTTATTATTCAAAGAGATAATCCAAAAAAAAATCTCCCAAGTTTTAATCAGATAATTCTAGAAATAGCCGACGAAGAATACCGAAAGAAGAATGTTATATTTGGCCTGGCTGAATTTAATGATTCTAATACTGAGAAGTCAAAGTCAACCGATATAATATCAATCCAAGTGTCTTACTAGACAATACTAAATTATTTAGAATTGGTCGAGTAAATATGGCTGCTAACAAATCCATGCTATTAAAATATATTTTCTCATCAGCATCTAATTCATCTGAAATTGAAATAAACTTAAAAATAATAATCAATTTAACAATATTATTATGGCCTCCCCAAAAACCTCTCTACAATCTAAGAAATTTAAATTAATTAAAGTAGAACTCACAGCAAGGTTGTCAGAAATTAGGGGAATTAGAAATTAGGCATTACAATCAAATATATTTACTGTAAAGATGAATAATTACTAGTAAACTCGTCCAATGGGAGAAAAAAATTTCATTCAGATGCTACTATCAAAATATTCACAGCTTCAACACCAAAACACAAAATTTTCTTAAATCCCGTAGTTACTAATAAAATAGTAAAACAATGGGCTAAAATATACTTTTTGCAAAATTTTTAATATAACCCTACAAACAAATGACTTCCCTGGGGTCTGGAAGTTGTCCAAAATTATTCCCAAATTTAAAACTGGTAAGATTAATGACATGACAACTAATTACCGCCCTATGGTCCTATTATTCAACTATTTAAAGGCTTTCGAGATAGCGTACAATAGAATCTTGATAATAGTAAAAATTGTAATCGCTGATGAGAATCAACATGGTTGTATTTGTCAAAGAGTAACCGTCACAAATGTATTGTAAAACTTCTCAAAGGCCTTTAACAAGGCAGATCATAGCATTTTTTATGTTTAATTCAGTGGACACAATGATGACAACCAGTGTTGCTCCTCAGGGCAGCAATCTAGTACCCCTATTGTTTTCTCTATTTATAAATGATATTGGAAAAAACTTTTCAAGCAACTACTTATTATTTGCAGATCTCCTAAAGATTTTTATGATCATTAAATCACTAGCTGTATGCAATGATATTGCAAAATGACCTAGACTTTGCACAAATGGTGTGTACTGACAACAAATTACCACTTATTATTGAACACTGTAAATTAGTTTGCTTTACTTTAAAAACTAAATAATGTTCAAATATTCTATTAATAATACTCCACTAGCGGCAGTTGATCAAACAAAAGATCTATATATAAATAGGGAAAGACAAAACAGTTAAAAGCACCATTTTTTCTTCTTTTTGTAAATCGAGTTTCTTTTTTTATTTAGGAGCTATTGATGAGTTTTAAATGTCAATAAACATTTTTTCGAAATAGATTTCTTCTCAACGCTCAATAGGTATAATATGAAAGCCATTGATCCACAATTATGAATTATGACTGACTAATAAAATTAGACTATATCGAACGTGAGTACCTTTTAATTTCGAATCGACACGGACGGATGGTGAATCGCAAAAAAAAATATATTTCCCCCATTCCTACAAACTTCCCCTTCTTGCTCTACCACGCCTAAATAGTAGGAGATATAAAAAAATATAAAAGAGGAACCGTAGGCTCTGCCTGAAACCATTTCAAACCGATTAACCCCAGGGGAAGTAGATATACCTATAGAACCGCTAGAATTGACTTTCGGGTAATAAAAATATTATTTTTGAATCGTATATGAGTCTGGCCCTAACTAGGTTCTTTGCAGAATATTTGATATAGGTAGAAAATAATTACTTTAGCGTCCAAATCACCCTTGGCTCCATTCCTTCTGACTATAAATTGGGATGGTTTGTCGGCTTGGATGTAGCCTTCAGGGAACTGCGCTACTTCCAGGAGATGAGCATCACCCACGGCTGGCGATATGTAGACTTTGAAGGGTGAATCTGGTACATGCTCGTCGTTGAATTTCAAACCAATGCGGTATTCACCTGTAATTAAAAAATTGTTTAAGTAAGAAACGAAGTTAAGTGTCTTAGTTATATTTTTATATTGCGCTAGTGGACAGTCACTTGAGATATCGCCCTTTGGCATATTAAAATACACCCAATAAGATCAGTATACCTATATTTTCTATTTTGTACAATAGGGGAAGACACATACCAAGAAAGTCTGCAGACTATTGCTACGTTTGAAATGTACCTCATCGAGCAGAACGAGTAGATTTTTTGGTCACGTGACATCTAGCAAACCATATCAATGGAGCAAACGCATCATAAAGAAGACAGAACAGAATATAAGAAAAATTATCTTATACTGTTTATTGCTAACAAGAGTTTGGATTTACACAATTGCTTAAATCTACCTATAAAACAAGTAATAGATTCCTATAGTATTTTGTCGCGCGAGAATGAATTTCTGCCTCTTTGTAGGGAGAATGGGAAACGACCTCCCACGATATTCACCAGATGGCAACACATGTTCCCTGAGAAGTACACATACAACCGTTTGCAGTAGTTTTCCAACACTTTCAGTTATTTTTTGACTGTACCTTGTAGGTTCACAGACGGTTTAAACTCCAATATGAGCGTTATTTTATCTAATTTGTTTATAGGTTAAGTACATAGAAACATAAAGTTTTTAAGATTATATCTTGCGTGAAATAAAATATATTAATAACACAATAACTGTATTTGATCGTAATTTCATATTTTTATGTGAAACCAAAAATAAATATATACTTCAATCTATATGACCTGTTTGTAATGTTTAAAAATAATACAATCGATTATTAAAAATTGGAACCTTTATTATTATCCTTCGAGGCAGTAGTTATGTTCGGATTCAAACTGATTTCCTGGTAAACTTTGTACATTGTCCACTTTCAAGTCGGCTTCAATAAAAACATTTATCAAACAACAAACATGTCTGTACGCATATATGAAAAATATCATACTGACTATTAAATATATGATTCAATAAGCTATATTTAACTTTTAAAACTACCTTGACGATTTTTTTTTGTCATAAGAACATAACATACTTCGAATCATGTTGCAAAATTTTGATTTGGACAACTGCCAAAGGAGAGGTGATTCACCACTGTCTCCTTTCCTCCTCCAATTACAGGGGCTATTCAATAAGTAAGTTCAAAATAAGGATAAATACTTTTTTTTTGTTTTTGGAGAAAATGAATCGGTTTATTTTTATCTCAACTAGATCACCTATAAAAGGTAAATTTAAAGTGAATTTTGTTGAATTAAAATATATGGTAGGTAGATTAAAAAAATCAAGTAATGAGATATAAATTTTGTACCATTTAGAACAGTTTTGTATCCCACTACCAGAGCGTAACCAAATGGAATCTTTATATTTTGATTAATAAAGTATTTTTACAGATAAAATAAAAAATGACACTTTACGTTAATCGAGACAAAAAATATAGCCAGAAAACGACCAAATTGGTGATTTCTTATTGATTAAATTTCTATATCTAGAAAAAGCGTATTTTTCTCTTTTCAATTCTCTGTTTTTCTCTTTAAGATAAAAGTTTTATTTTAGTTTTGATACACAAAAAAGAAAATAATGAAAAAATTTAAAGTGTCAAAATCTGACACATTTCTTCAATTTTTTACAACCCAAAATCTCCCATAAACCTCGGAATATTATCGTCATAAATATCACTAAAATATATAAGTACCTCCATAAAATAGTTTTTGAGATATAGCATTTATCTTAATTCTAGAATAACAATGACTGCCAACACTAAAATACTTTATCACTGTTATTAGTTATTAAAATTAATTTGAAGATATATATTTGTTTACAAACGAAATTGTCTTAATTATGTTAGTATTCGATTTAAAATGATGTCACAAAAATTATAACATAATTAAATGTTAATTATAAAATTACATGTGTACAAAAACAAATTCATTCGCCAAAACATTTGTTTTTACATTTAAAAGAAAAAACATTTGATTTGCATCATGGTTGCTAATCCCAACACGTGCTAGTTTGTCAAATCTTGGATACACGAGTTATTTTCATTTGTACGTGTAATTCATAAACGAGTATAAAATCAGGAAGCTGCCGATTTTCAAACTAAAATTCCAAGGACATATTGAGTACTTTTAATATTTAACAGTGTACCTACGTAGGGCAGTCGAATAAAATAATGTCAGCTAGAATTCAATCTTTTTTTAATACCCGAATTGACTTATTTGAGATCATGAGATTATTCCACTTACCCTGTCAAGGTTATACCAACGACATAGTTATATTTGCGAAAGGCAAATTTAGAAATATACGGTAGATATAGTCCAACAACGTATAGAACCCACTCACCCAAGGATCTGTACAAACTTGTGCAAGGTACAAAGGTGATAGAGTGGGTGCTATGAACTAACAATAAGCCAATAGGCTTCAGTGTTATTCGGAGACACATAGTCAGACGAGCCCAGGAGAGAAAAAAAACTCAAACACTCTGCGATGAATGTATACAGAAGTAGTGAGACCAATCGTCTCTTGCTATATTAGTTGCTACAAGAACTAAATATCTCAAAGGTACACAACTAGCCTGTGTTTGTATCACTAGTGCAATGAGAACCTGTCCTACGCCCGCAATGAAGGTGATCTTAAACCTCACAGCTCTACATTTAATGGTACGGAAGTACGAAGTAATCAGACGAAAGTCTATTAGTTCCAGAACAGAAGAAACATCAAAATTATCGAGCTAGGCTGCAAGAAGGAAGGAGGCAAGAATCAGTCGTGTGTGTAACCGAAAATAATGCAATTGAGAGGTATGTGGATGGTTCCAAAACCACAGGAGTACCACAGAAGTACTGTGAAAGTTTGGGTAAATACCCAAGCATCTTCCAGACGGAAATTCACACCATTAGGAATTGCATCCAGTTCAAAATCAAAAGAAACGTTCGCAAACAAGAGATTATCATAACTAATAGCCAAGCAGAAATCAAAGTGCTGACATCTTACTTAATCAGCTCAAAAATGGTGTGGAGATGCCTAGAAAAACAGAATGAGCTAGGCGAGGAAAATACAGTTACTCTCATGGGTTCCAAGTCACAATGGGGTAAAGGGTAACGAGATTTCAGATAGTCTTGCAAGGAAATGGACTCAAACACTCTTTTGAAACGAACTGGGCAGTAGAAAAACCGACAATTGGAATGATCTCTAAGATATTTCTGGTTGAATATAACCAGAAAAGATCGAAAGCCTTTATCTGTCTAAGCAAAAAACTAGAAGAGTAGAAGAGAGTAAGTACAGATTTTGTGCGCAGGAGGACCAAACCAACATTCACATTCTGATTGAATGTGTCATATCGGCATATTCTCATGGAAATCAACAACGTCGATAAACCAGGAGATCTATACCGAGACCCATATAAAACCGATTGGTTTGGATACGGAGTGGAGCTGGGGGCAGTGTTAAAAACCGTTAAAATAACTCTTAATACTAAAAATGATATAGATGAAGTTGCAGAACAACTACGGGACGCAATCATAACATCATATCACAATAACTGCTCGTTAAAGAACAGGATAACTTCTAAGGATGTTTTAGAAACTCCGACTCTGGAGGAAGGCTAAATAAAACGAACTAAGTAAAATATCTGGGTCTGATCCTAGATAGCAAACTTACTTGGAACCAACACTTACAAAAAGTGACCAACAAATGTAAAATGTCTCTCATAGTAGCGAGACGGGCATTTGGAAAAACATGGGGATTAAAACCAAAAATGGTCCACTGGCTATATTTGGCAATAACAAGACCTATGATAACTTATGGAGCGGTTATTTGGTGGCCAAAAGTAAACCAGAAAACAGCCCTCAATACCCTCTCAGGAGTACAGAGGCTGGCATGCCTTTGTATTACAGGAGCACTGCGAAGTACACCGACAGCCTCTATGGAAATCATTCTAAACCTCCCATCCCTTGACCTAGTCATAAAGGGGGAGACAAGAATGAGTGCATACAGACTGGAAATCTCCAACAACTGGAACCCACTAGGACATATCAAACTTACCAGAAAAACACATGAAGTAAATGATTCTATATTAAATATGGGATCAGATCACATGATACCCCTCCTAACCTTTAACAGACTCTTCCAGGTCAACTGTAACTGGAACGAGGTAAATAAGGAGATCGATAAATATTTGCTTAGCGGTCTTGTATGGTATACAGATGGATCTAAAACTAACAAGGGAACAGGCTCTGACGTACATGGAGTTAAACCCAAATGCGACATCATCGTCTCACTGGGAAAACATGCCACTGTATTTCAGGCTGAAATACATGCAATCGAATTGTGTGTACGAGAGAATTTAAAAAGGAAGTACAAAAAACAAACCATTTTAATTCTCTCAGATAGCCAAGCAGCCTTAAAGGCTCTTGATTCAAACAGAATCAAGTCAAAGCTTGTCTGGAACTGCTTTGGAATACTAAATGGTCTGGAAACCCACAATAAGGTAAAACTAGCGTGGGTACCAGAGGACAAAGGTATCCAAGGAAATGAAAAGGCTGATGAACTCGCTAAAGAGGGATCTACCATTCACAGGACCTGAACCTGTATTTGGGATAAACAAAACCTCTGCTCGACAGGCAGTGAACAGGTGGATAACCACAGAACACCAAATTCACTGGCAACAGATAAGAGGGCACAGAATCAGTAAGCTCCGAAAGAAGTTTCCATTGAAGGGCCTACTACTTGGTATCTCCCGCAATTTTCAGTTATAAATTTCAAGAAGAAAAACTAAGACTAGTCTTTGATGCAGCTGCTAAGTCTAACGGAAAAAGTTTGAATGATTATTTGTTTGCGGGGCCAGATTTGTTATCCCTCCTTGTAGCTATCCTGGGAACAGATAAGAGGGCACAGAATCAGTAAGCTCATGCTAAGGGGACCAAACCCACAACTCGCAAGGCTTCAGATATCCACCATTGTGGGATTAATAACGGGGCACTGCTTGCTGAAACACCTTCATGTGATGGGATTACACAATGATCCCACTACGTGTAGACTCTGCATGGAAGAGGAAGGAACCTCATACCATGTGATCTTCGAATGCGAAGCTCTTACTAGGCGACGTTTCATCCTTTTCGGCCTAGAACCGGAAAGAACGCCCCAGGAACACTTGGTAGGGAACCTTTTAAAACTAACCAAAGACACAGGACTATTCCAAAGATAGTACCTGAATACGGGGAAAGCAGGGGAATACAATAGACCCAAGAGGTCGCAGTGTTCTGGGCCAAACCTAACCCTACCTGCTTACAATCGAAAAAGATAAAGATAAAAAAGATTGAATGTGTAGCAAGAGACTAGTAGAAGAGAGTAAGTACAGATTTTGTGCGGAGAAGGACAAAACCAACATTCACATTATGATTGAATGTGTAGCACTACAAAATTTAAGGGTTTTATACTTAGGAACATAACAAATAGAGTGATCTGCCAGCTTGGAGCCACTCCAAATCCTACAGTTCCTTGGAAAGATAGGATTGGAAGGACCGATATAGACATCGAGATTGTTGCCTTGCTGCCTTAGCGGGATACAGTAGATATTTTAAGTCGCAGTGTATTAATACCCTATACATAACATTATCTACTTACCTGGTTCAGAAACTTTGTATGACACATCACAAGACCCGTCTTTACGGTCGGTAAAGTTGATTTCGGCCTTGCTGGGACCTTCTACTGAAATTGCAAGTTGACCACTTCCTGCTTCTCTAGTCCATACGTTGAATTCGTTGATTTCACCTTGTTCTCCTCGTTCTAGACCAACTCCTCCGGCTTTTACTAAATGAGCACCATGATCTCTGTATGGACCAACAGTGAATTGGAATGGAGAACCTGTAATAGAATAGCGATACTTTATTCGTCATACAAAATGGATAACTTAAAGACTATAACAAATTCATAAGCTAGAGATGGTTATGAATCATCCCAAATATAATCTTTTTTTGTAAGATATTTTCTTAACCTTAGAAGACTTACCAGGAATATGAATGTCCTTGTATCTAACAGAAACGGTGTGAACTCCAAGTTCTTTTGGTACAAAATGAACAGCGTAAAGTCCATCTTTAACTTCCTTAATTTCAGCATCTTCAGTTACCCCACCAGGAGATGTTACCGTAGCACTGAGATCAAATGAGGTAATACCTAAACACATTACGTAATTAATATAGTCAGTGTATAGTAGTTATAAAGTAGAAATCATACATACCTGGCATTTTAAATGTAAGTTTACATTGACTGCCAACTTCTGTAATAGGCACTGCTTCTCTTTGCCTTTGAATCTTTTCTCTTTGTCGGTTTGAGCCTTCACCAGTAACCTATAAAGCAAAGATTTTGTTAACTAATCATAAACTAAAAGAAGGTTACAATAGACTAATTGATACTCTGTTAAACTTTGACAGACATTTAAACGGAGTATTGGAGTGCATAATTTTTGGTATTAGAAGGTGGATAGTAAAAATAGGAAATGAAGACTAAGTATAAATTTGTATTGTAGGATTTGGCGAATAGCAAAAACTGGAAACAAGTAATTAAACTGAAGATTCGAAGAAAAGACATAAAAACTCACCTTAACAGTAAATGGCGATCCGTCTAAATGATGGTCAGCAAACTTAAGATTAACGATATAATATCCTGGTTCAGTGGGTTTATAAGAAATGTTCAATGTACCATCAGTATTATCGTTACATTGGATTTCTGCTTTGCTAGGTCCTTCAATAGACAGAGAAAGTCCACCAAAACCAGCATTCCTAGTATCCACAGTAAACGTATTATCCATATGTGTTTTACCTTCTTTCAGAGCAGTACCAGTAACTTTAACTTTCTTAGCATCTCCAACTTCTCGTTCACAAACGTTGATTTTGAAGGGAGAGTTTGTAATGTGATTACCCATTTTTTTGACGCTGACTACGTGTTCTCCAATTTCTCTAGGCGTAAATGAGATTCCGATGTTTCCAGCCGGGAGACTTTTTAAAAAGCAAGGTTCCTCTAAACCGCTGGGAGCTTGGATTGATGCGTTAAGTGATCTGATATCCGCATCGGATATTTTACCAGGAAGAGATACCTCACTGCAGGATCCTACTGATATTTGGTTACGTTTTCTGCCTTCTCCAGTTATTTTCGCGTTAAATGGAGAACCTGCAGGAAAAAATGAGTAACTCTATAGCAGAGATTCTTATATATTAATTATCAAGCTTCCATACCTTTAATGTGTTTGTCTCCAAATCGAACAGAAATTTTATACTCTCCAGGGGCAGTTGGCAGATACGATACAGAAACAGTTCCATCTTTATTATCGTGGCAACTAATTTCTGCTTTGCTTGGTCCTTCGACAGCCATGGACAATCCACCTGCTCCAGCTCCTAAACAAAAAAAAAATAAAAATTTATTGAAATTAAAAATATCACATTTTGTTTAAGTATAGGTACTGTTGTATAAATAGGAGGTAGAACAAAAACTTTCTAATGCTAATAGTAAATAAAAATGGAAATTAATAAACAAGTTCACTGGATTCAGAAAAGATACCGTCTGAAATTGGTAAAATATCACAAGGAGTGGCTCAAGGTTCCATTCTGGGTCCCCTCTTCTATACAATATATACTAATAATTTTTCAGCAATATTACAGCATTGCAAAGTACACATGTGTGCTGACGATACCCAGCTGTATAGATTTTTTCATAAAAATAATGAAATTTTATCACTACAGGAAATAAATAATGATTTAAACACTCTAATAGAATTTTGGACCAAGCACAACTTAGTAGTAAACACGAACAAGTCATCTGTCATATGTTTTGGTTTCAGTTCATCTAATAACATATCTGTATACATAAATAACGTATCTTTACCCATAACAGAAAAAGCAAGAAATCTTGGCATAATATTTGATAATAAACTAAAGTTCTCTGATCATACTTCATATATTTTACAAAAATCTTATATAAGATAGAAACACTGTATCAAAGTAGACATTTGTTTAACAAAAAATTAAACATTTTCTCTATGTGATTCTCTTATTCTGAGTAATGCTAATTACTGCGATTACTTGTACGGGCCCTGTCTCTCTGTAAATGATTCCAATAGAATACAAATACTTCAAAATTCTTGACTAAGGCTTCATTTATGGAATAAAGAAAGAACCCCGCACAAAACTTATGGAAATTGGCTCCCGGTCAAATTGGCTGAAATTTGGATATATTGTTCGTTTCGGCATCCTGAGCAAAAGTCTCAATAGGCACAAAGCTCAATTTTGATTATTTTGGCTCCTACGGAGCTCCAAAGCTTCACGGATTGACCATTATTTACTACTTAAAAAGGCAATCTCCTCGAAAGTTTAGTATTTGTTGCGTTAAAACAGAAGTACCTTCTTATGTTTTCGGGGTCACTGCATTCAAATCCAATGCTAATATAATAATATTGACAGTTGACAGCTGTCAAGTAGCTGTCAAACAACAAGCAATAATTAAAATTAATAAAATCTACATGAAAATATCTGTTTTTGAGGTTGGTAAGTTCAAAACTGATGTCAACAACTCGATATTGACAGTTGACAGCTGTCAACTAACTGTCAAATAGTATGTGACAATCAAAATTGACAAAATTCAGGAGTAAATAGATGTCTTCGAGGTTGCTGAGTTTAAAACTGATGTCAAAAAGACGATATTAACAGTTAACAGCTGTCAACTAACTGGCAAACAGCATGTGACAATCAAAATTGATAAAATACATATGTAAATATGTCGTCGAGGTTGCTAAGTTCAGAACTGATGGTAAAAAATTGATATTCACATTTTACAGCTGTCAAATAACTGTCAAGCCACAAGCATTAATCAAAATTGATAAAATCCACATGTAAATATCTGTTTTTTAGGTTGGTAAGTTCAAAACTGATGTTAACAACTAGATATTGACAGTTGACAGCTGTCAACTAACTGTCAAACAGTATGTAACAATTGAAATTGATAAAATTGAGATGTAAGAATATGTCTTTAAGGTTGCCTTATTGTAATCTGATGCTAAAAAGACGATATTGACAGTTGAATACTATCGTTAATTAAATATTTGACTGTACATGATAATGTGTCAAGATAGAGAAACAATGAGGTGGCAGCAAGTAAGCTTTACTTGTTTTTAAAATATCGTTTTTTTTACCTTTAGTATTGAATTTAACTATCTTAAAAACATACGTTTACATGTGGATTTTATTAATTTTGATTGTCACATACTGTTTGACAGTTAGTTGACGGCTGTCAACTGTCAATATCGAGTTGTTAACATCAGTTTTGAACTCAGCTACCTTAAAAACAGATATTTACATGTGGATTTTCAATTTTGATTATTGCTTGTTGTTTGACAGCTAGTTGACAGCTGTGAACTGTTAATATTAATATATCGGAATTGGATTTGAATGCAGCGACCCCGAAAACATAAGAAGGTTCTTATTTTTTAACGCAGAAAATACTAAACTTTTGAGGAGACTGCTTTTTTAAGTAGTAAATAATGGTCAATCCGTGGAGCTTTGGATCTCCGTAGGAGCCAAAATAATCAAAATTGAGCTTTGTGTCCATTAAGACTTTTGCTCAGGATGCCGAAACGAACAACATATCCAAATTTTAGCCAATTTAACCGGGAGCCAATTTCCATAAGATTTAGCTAATTGGTTAAATATGCGAAATCGCAGAAAACTTCATGCACTAACCCTGTTTCACAAAACAATAATGAAAAAATGTCCACCATACCTTTATAACAAAATTATCTTCCGCACAGATATTCATAACAAGCATACTCGAAAGAAAAATGAAATTAATACCAAAACACAATACATAGCAGTTTAAGAACAGTTACTCATAGCAGATATCGAAAGAATATAACAATGTTACAGATTCCCTAAAAAACCTTCCTATTACCTCTTTAAAGAAGCGTCTATTCGTGAATAATATTTTCAATGACCAATGCAGAAATTTAGTAATTTAGGAATTCAGTAATTTAATTTAGTAACTTAGGAATTTAGAAATTCAGGAATTTAGAAATTTAAGAATATAGAATTAAAATATTTTAAAAATTTTTAAAATTTAAGAATTCAGAAATGTAGAAATTAAGTAATCTAGGAGTTTTAAAATATGAAAATTTATAAAATGTTTAATGTATGCACAAATTTAAATTTATAAACAAATTTGGATAGCAAAGCTAAAACCTTTATATGAATTACTTAAAAAAAAAATGTTTCAATCATTATCTTTGTTATACATATATGTTCCTAGGTACGCTCTTAAGTAGGCAAATGAATTATTTTTATATTTTTTTTCCTCGATACTCAGGCTTTTGAGGAAGAACAGCTTATGCTAATCAAAGGGCCTGTTGACCTTCTTTCTTGTAAACATAAAATGAATATTCATAAGGATATGAATGTAAAATAGAATTTGTATTATTTGTTTTCAAAGGTCAATAAAAATAATAATAATAATAATAATTTTATTATTATTATTATTATTATTATTAGATAACAGGACCAGTATGCTTCGAATATGTACTCTGGACAAAGAAGTTCACTGTATACTAAATGACTAACTTAAAAAAAAAATTGGTAAATAAATACATAAACTTGACTTAATTTGTAAAGGTAGAAATGTTTATAAACTAGTATTTTGCCTTTAATGTATATCAATGGTCTCAAATTCCATCTGTTGCTATTAATTTCAGCTTAAAATCAAATTTTTTTTTTGAAGTTATTCCAAATATTCACGGGAGACTTGTAAATGTCACTAGTTTTGATAAATTGCGAGCAATCGCACCATTTATCTTGCCAATATTTTTTTTATTTAGAAAAACGTATAAAATATTTCTTGGCCGTTTCTTGGAAATATTCATACTCTCTCCAGTCTTAAAATTCTTTGCAATTTTTTATTTTCATTTTATTTAGATTATAAATAATACGTATAGTTCACTATACTTATAAAAGCTATGATTGTCAGTTTTCTGCATGGAAGTTTTAAAATTATATTACTCATTACTTCAAGAGTTCTGGGGAACATAGTTATTAATCGTGGGCTGTACTACCATATAGAAACATGAACTTTAAAGGTAGGTATCTAAAGCGATAGAGTTCTTTATGATGAATTCATTGGAATTTTTTGCTTATATCGCAAATACAATATTATACAAATTATATATTTAAATAAAAAGCAACTTCAGTCAAATCAGAGAGGATTTCCTAGCTAAGATTTATGAAAATTAGAGCTCTGGAATAAAATTAGGTAACAAGGAGGATAATAACACAAGGGTTCACACTCTTAAGATTAGAAAAAGTGAAGACTCAACCCTGCCTGCATGTAATGGAAAAAGAGTGATTCACCTGAACATACTATTTTCGAGTGGACAAGATGGAAGCGAGAAAGGTATGAAGTAATCCTGATTGCTGGGAAAGAGGTAACATCCAACAATCTGACCATGTTAATGACCAGTTGATATGGCAAAAGTTTAAAAAATAAGCTTAAAATTAGAGAAAGAAGGAATCAACAGCCATACATTTCCTCTGAGGCTCTGAACGAATGTTGGAAAATGATACCGGTGCTCCAGATGGTGAGCGGGTGGTTTTAGTGGGTAACCACGGCTTGCACAACGGAACTTGGAGACTCATACTAAGCGGTGAAGAGTAGAACTAGTAGCCGTTGTCCATATACTTTTTATTTATCCCAACTCCGAAAAAGAAATTATCGCACCTTTGTGAACAACAGTGTCACAGTTCACTCATCGTTTTTTATTCGTTAGTGAACTTGTTTCTACTGACTTCTATAGTTTTGAAAAACGGATCAGAACATGTTATCGTCAACCGAGATTTGAGTAGTTTTGTTAGGTAGACGGATAAAGTGTTTGTGAAAATTTTATATGCAGTTTTAAAAATAATAAATGCGGTTTACATTACCTTTGGTGGAAATTGTAAAATTGCTAGGCTCTCCTGTGACTCCATGTGTTAAACCTGGACCGTAAGCTGTCACGTAACCGGAACTAATAGAATCTACGTGGATTTTATAAGGCGAACCTTGGACGTGTTCACCGTTGAATTTCACAGCTAGTTCATGGACACCTTCTTCGCGAGGGTCGTATTTTATTGTTACAGTACCATCGTGGTTATCTTCGATTACGGGTTTGTCTATGTTCCCGCTGGGCATTTTTATTTCGGCTGAAACAGATTAAATTCATTGAAACAAACCAGATATTTGCAATTTATAGAGTGGATTTTTTAATTATTTCGTTTGTACAGGTCTTGGTTACTTAATTAGTATACCCTACTCTCCATTTGATAGCACTACGTTGCTACGAATCATGATAATTTTGAAATTCTTACTCACCCCCACCTTATCTTACCCTATTTTTTTTTTTAATTTATTGCTGTAGGTACCACCTGTACAGAGGTCTGGAAAAACAATTTCCAAGGCCACATTTCTCGAGATAGGTATCTATTAGAAATTTTGATGAAACCTACATAAAGGTTAAAACTAATACAAATTCGAGTTTAGAGTAGCAAAAATGATTCCTTTGACTTAGAGAACAAATTAAAATTGAGTTAAATTTTTGAAAATGACTACTTCAAAAATTGGTTCACCAAGTAAAAACTAAGAAAAAAATGATTAATCTAAATACAGGTAATTGAGGAAATTGAAAAGATAGCTAAATAGGTACATTTCGAGGGATCAAAGTTTAAATTCGAATTAAATAAATATTGCCAGGAAGCGAAAAAAAAAAGTACATTTCCATATACTGCAATAAATAAGCTACATGTAAAACAAACGGATTTTTTAAAATTTTAATTTTTTTTTATTTTTTAAAATTTGTTCTGTAGGTGCAATATTCCATTGAGGGTTCACTAAGGAGTGGAATAGAAGTTGCTGCCACGTGGCACGCCAAAGTACCCAAATGTCACGCTTGTTACCAAAATGCCACGATTTTTACTTAAATGCCACGCTTTCTAAATCCAAACCTATAAATAATAAATTTTAGACATTTAAAGGACCTGTTTTATAAAAATATAAGCAGAAGACCTGTTTCTAGATCTCCTGTTTTTCATCTGATTCCCAGGGGCCGTATTCTTGTAACTATGTTGTAACTATGTGAGTAGGTGAGTACACTCTGACTATTTGGCTGGAATCATATGAATGATGATAACAGTGTTGCCAGACTACGATAATTATCGTATTTGTACGATATACGTTGAAGTTGAAAATTGCCAAGGTTTTCGGGATTTCTCTTTTCCAACTGTATTTCTATTGCATACACACATTTAATACATGTTTTAGTAATATACTTAGATAAAAGAGACCAATTTTTAAAGAAAGGTTAACGGAGTGGGGGAACTGGGCAGAGACCCGAACTCTGTGACAGGGACCGGACTTTGTTATGAACTATTAGATTTATTTAAAATATACGTTTAATGGAATTTTGTATTATGAAATAAAATTAACGTGATTTTTTAATATCAAACAGATGCCACGACATTTTATGTAAAGAGAAGGATCTTTTATAGAATATTTCGTTAGCGTTTATTTACTACGGAATTTTCAGTAGTAATACCACAAGTGATTGAATTGGCGCGATAATTCTGTCGATTTATTTTATAACGAAACTGAGTTGCTTGAAAACACCACGAGTCCGGAGGACGAGTGGTGTTTTCTTCAAGCAACTCAGTTGAGATGTGAAATAAAAGACAGAATTATAAGATAAATTCAATCACGAGTGGAATTTTATTAGACTATTTCACAAACAAAGTGCATTTCTTGCCGATTGAAAAATTATATCTTTGAATGGATCGAAACTCCGTGAATATTCATTATATTTTTCTTGCAATAATTTAGCACTCGTATTCCAGATCGTCTTTACGACACATTCGTTGTAATCAGAACCATCAATTTTTCTCATGTTGAAGCCCCAGTCCTTTAATATAAGAGCTATTCTCTCAACAGGCGTTGCTTCTTCTAATACGTATTCTCGTTCATCACAAAAACTAGTAAATTGCTTCCAAACGTACTCCTTCGATTTCTTTGTATTTTTCGGTACATTTTCATCAATTTTTCCATTGGTTAATTCGATGGAATTTATCCCAAATCTGCTCATTTTTAAATGCGTGCACGGCGGAATTATTTATATTTGACGTTTAACTGTCACATAAACAATCTGAAAACACCGAACTTGACAGGCCAATCAGGATCAAGAGTCAAGTTTGGTGTTAGCGATAATCCGAACTTGACTAGAACTCCTGATTGGTTCATTTGATAAGTGCGTGAAATAGTCAGCAAGAGACTACAGTAAAATGTTGAAATAGAATATTGTTAATAGATCAAGAAATGGTACTCATTGTCTACGAGTATTATAGAAAAAATATGTACGCAGGCGAATACTGCAAATCAAACCTTGTAAGTTGAACATTATATTTTTTCTGCGGCTATTACATAATATTAAAAATTAGTCAAAATGAGAAAATGCTGTTTTGTATTGTAACCTCATCTTCTTTCTTTAGGAATATCAATTAATGTAGAGGATGAGTCACATAAAACTCTAGAAATGCATATGTCTGAAACCAGAAAACATTTTAAAATTTTAACCAATTAAAAGTCATTTAGTCGCTAGGGGTGGGTGATTATCGAAATAAATTATCGATCATTGATAATAATCGATTATTTTCAAACAATCTATTTTTTGTCGTATTTCCTTTAAAATTGACTATTTGATTATCTTTGAAAAATAAAAAAAATCGATTAATTATTTTCAAATAATCCATTTTTTTTTTCGTCCATTGAAATAGATTATTCGATAATCTTTGAAAAATCGAAAATAATCGATTAATAAAAAATAATCGATTAATTAAAAAGTCGAATAACTGATAAATCGTATTTCAAAAAAACCGAATTATCTATTATTTTAAATAATCGATTATTTTTGATCAATCGATTATTATCAATAATTAATTTTTATTGTATTTCCTTTAAAATCGATAATTCGATTTATCTTTGAAATACCGAAAATAATCGATTATTCCAAAATAATCGCTTAATTGAAAATAACCAATTAATTAAGAAGCCGATTCTACGATAAATCTATTTTCCAAAAAAAATAACCGAATTATCGATTATTTTCTAATAATCCTTTTCATTTTTCCTTTAAAATTGATTATTTTATTATCTTCGAGAAATATAAAATAATAGATAAATCAAAAATAATCGATTAATTAAAAGCCGATTAACCGATAAATCGATATTTCTTAAAAATAACCGAAATATCGGTTATAAATAATAACCGATTATATTCGATCAATCGAAAATCGATTTTCATAAAAAAATATCAGAATAATCGATAAATCGATTATTTTTGTAACCCCTATCAGTCGCTTGCTGTTATCCGAGCATTTAGCTCCAAAATTTAGAGATTCGGATTTTTTGATTCCGTTATCTTATCTTTGCATTCGATTGTATAATAAATAATAAATATAAACGAAAATTTTGTTGGAGTTGTTTAGGGATTTATAATGTAACATTTTATTAACAATGTGACTAACTCCCGTAACTTTAGTATTTTTTTGCTTATACTAGATCATATTGTGAGTTTTACTTTGTTTTAAGCCTTAAGATTCAAATGTCACTTTCGATTTGACCGCAAATAAGATGAACCTTGAAATTTTAAGTTGGTCATCCTGTATTTCATCTAATATTCTTATAAATATACGTTATACAAATAAAATTTAGCTAGCAACTATGCTTTACTCCTTATTTATCCACCAAAAAGGACTAAAAACCACCTTTAGTAAATATTCTTATAAAACTACTGTTTAAAAACAAAATTTCGTTAGCAAAAATGCCTGTTTACTTTTTATTTAAATTAAATGTTCAAAATTGTACCCTTTTGTAAATTTATATAAGTAATATGAAATCTGTTTTCTGAAATATGTATTTGATGCTTAATATTTATTAAAACCCCTTAATGCGGATCTGAAGTATTCAGCCCAAAAGATCATGGCGCTTTATGTCAAAACGTTTATGTAAAAATGTATTATAAGTACATACAATTTTTCAAGATACATCGTGGCATTTTGAACTTAAAATTGAATAACTAGAACACTTTAAATTGTTAAAACACCAACAAATAAATCAAAAAACAGCTGTCAATAGTGACTGAACTGAGGCGGAGGTGAGCGTTGAATGGAAAAATCGAAGCAATTCGGGTGGCGTCGTGCAAACAATGATTTTCAATTGGTGGGTTACTTGGGGTTAAGATAGACAACATACGCAGTGTGCAATGTTACATCTCGGTCTCGTTAATCTAAGGTAATATATTATTACATACGTATAATTGAAAATATTTTTAATTACAGGGTGATTCAGAACGATAATACGGTAGTTTTTTGCAAAATCTCGTTCAAAAAGTACTACTCAATGTGGTATTTTGGTATATTGCAGAGTAAACATTTCTTATACAGGGTGTTTTGTAGTGGGAACCACATATAATTATTTTTTTAAGGACTAATTCAAAACCCTGTACCTACTTATTAATTGATTTTTTACTAAAATATGTATACCTCTAAGCTTCAAAATATACAAGGCGGCTTATTTGTTGGAAGATATTTTATTTTAATAAAAGTACAAAAACACCACGAACACCTTGTTTTATAAAAATTCCCAAGTCAAATATAACCATTTTCTCAGTATATGCTAATTTTAAAACCGATACCATGACCAGTTTTCGAGATACATGGCGTTAAAGTTGAGAATTGTTAATTTTTATTTATATTTTCTTCCAACTGAAAAGCTAGATTGTCTTTATGTAAAATATATAAGTTTAACATAAGTTTTGGTGAGGTGTCCATTCCGTTTAAAATATTTTTATAGGGAGATTCAATATATTTTTCGCAAATACTCAATATCTTTACGCCAAAGAGAAATTATTTCATTCAGTTAATATATACCCGTTCACAATTTTGAGGTCAAAAGATTTAGCTATGTGTACTTTTTATACAGGATGAGCTATCTAGCCATTCACAAAAAATAATAATGTTTTGAAATTATTAAAAAGAGATCTTACATTTCTTTAGTGACTTTTAAGTTACATTAGATTTTAAAAGGGGTACCCAACTACAAAAAATAGCAAGCAAAAAAACACGATATGCCACTTTTTGCAGTCAGGTGAGGGATTAATATGCCTTTGCCTTTTGTGTTTAATTTCATGCTTTATTATTGAAATTGATTTATGAAGTCAAATTGGCAACCAATATATTTTAATTTTTTGATCAAGTCCCGGTCAGTACTTAGACTATTATGGCAACCCTATTTTAGTAAAAAGAAGAAGAAATCAGAAAATAAAAGTGGATAATTAATATTATTAATTCTATGTAGTTTAAAATGAAATATGATTTGATTCAATCTAGGTAAGGAGCTTTCAGGTACAAGATCTGTAATATAAAGTGCTAATGAACGCAAATTATTCATATAGACTATTTGCACAAATAAAGATCTTAGATTTATCTTGTTTTATAAGCGAAATTGGCGTCTAGCGCGCCAAGGCGTGCTTCTTCACAATTTATCATCATTATCTTGTTATATTAGCCGTGGTTTATGTGCGTCTATGTTTGCAATTTGTTTTAAATGGGACAGATAATTTTGATGTAACAAATTTATTGCGGCAAAAAAATGCTCGTAAATTAGTCCGAATTAACAATGGATGTGCCGTTCATTAATGCATTCCGCATTTTAGATGCATTTACTCGAAAAAAAAAAAAAATATCTGAAAGTGTTAAGTAAGGCTTGCGCGTTCTTTGAACTAATGTTTTTAATTGGCAACAGTTGTCCGAAAGCAAAGCATTTTCCATAGAGAAATAATAAAATAAAAATCTGTAAATTGTAAGATGGTACCATTGTATAAAGATGAACTACTACTAGTTTTTCATAGAATCATGAAAATGATAAAATGATTTATAATTGTATGTATAAATATAATATACAGGATGGGCCACTGAAAACTGCCCACTTAGGTTTTTTCTTATTGATGCAAAAAACAAAAACCGCTCGTATAGGTCGGAGAGGGCACTTTTTTTCCAAACGCAGCATCGGCACTGCAATCTTTGAGTAATAGGGTGAACAACCCCTACAATTTAAATATTGAAAAAGTAATTTGATGGAGAATTCGGAAATAAGACTATTCATTTACTTTTGATTTTATCGCCCTCTAGCTTGATAAAAAACGTATGAGGGATGTTGAATTTTAAGAATATTATAAAAATAGCAGTAGGTATAAAGTTTTCGAAATTGTACATACATAACCATTCTATTTCTTTTAATTTATGACAATATTATACTGTTCTCTAGTAGGAATAATAACAGTTTTATTTTTGACAGCACTAGTTTTGATTGAGTCTGATGGTCATGATACGTTCTCTTGCTTTTTTTACAATAATAATTTGTAATTTATTATACTCTAAACAACTAAAACCGTACAAAACGGCAAGACAGAGCGAAGCCAATAATTTAGACACTCGTATTATGATAATAGGAACATGGAACTTGCAGGGAATTTACAAGGAAGGAGCAATAAAAAATCTAGTAAGAGAAACAAAGAAATATCAGATAGATATCTTAGCAATGCAAGAAACCCATTTAACCGGGAACAATATATCGGAAATACAAAATTATATAATGTTCACAAGTGGAAATGAAAGCTGTAGATTTGGAATGGGTTTCTTAGTATACAGAAATATAGAGGCATCAGTAGTAAATTTTAAAGCCGTAACAGAAAAATTGTGTAAAATGCAAATAAAAAGCGGAATACAAAATATAACAATAGTTAACTTCCACGCGCCAACAGAAGAAAAGGATGAGGAAACAAAAGATGAATTCAACGATAAACTAGAGAGAGTATATGATGAAATTCCTAAAAGAATCTGAAAATAACTCTAGGAGATGCAGACGCAAAAATAGACAAAGAAGAAATTTACAAAAATATAACAGAAGGTGAAAGCAAACATGATATAAGCAATAATAATGGTCTAAGATTAATAAATTTAGCCATAGAAAAAGATATGAAAATCATGAGCACACACTTTAAAAGGAAAGATATTCACAAAGGAACATGGATCATACCAGGTACCACAAAGACAAATCAAATAGACCACTTTCTCATTGAGGAACGCAAACTTAGTAAAAAATGTTAGATCATGCAGAGGGGCAGATGTAAACTCCGATCACTTTCTAGTTATTGCTAACATAATTCTAACAAAACGGAAAAAGATAAACACAAAATATAACATGGAAGAATTACAAGTAAACGAGATATAGAGCAGACAGAAATAGAGACAATACACCAGTTTTATACATGGCCAACACAGTAGAGAAGAAATGGAATAACATAGAGAATGCCATAAACACATCAATTGAGAAAAATATTAATAAGAAAAAAATGCAGAAAAGAAAATAATGGTTAGATAACGAATGTGATGAAGAAATTAAAAAAAAAAACACAAACTGAGAGAAAAATACCTACAAACAGGGAACGATACAGACGAAAAAAATATATAGAACAAAGAAAGGCTGTTAAAAAAATGTGCAGAAATAAGATAAGGCGTCACCAAGAAAAAAAAGTCGCAGAAATTCAAGAAAAATACAAAAAAAAATTAAATTAAACACTTCTATAAAGATGTAAAAGGTATACAAAAAAACACTCGCCAAAAAATATTTTTAACAAAGATAAGTCTATCGCATTGAGTCACAGCATCTGATGTCACTCATTAACTTGCGGGTTTTGAGTATTAACACTCGCTCATGGGGCTTATTCTATCTGTGCTGTCTTTTTCCTGTTTACAAAATTTGTACTATGGAATTTCTAAGATTCTAAGTGATGTGGATATTTTTAATTTCAATGTCATGCATTTAAAATAAGCAGTATATACCATTTTTTTACTCTATTTTTTACATTAATATAGAATTTCTATATGAAATTTTTATATGGAATTTCTATATGGTATAATTTTTACTTTCCTATCTGTATACAGATAAGGAAAGTATAGGAATCATGATTTTTTTCGACCTCCAGTTTTCGACGGATTTTTACGTTTTGGAGTCCCCTGAATCCGTTTCGACTATTTTCGTGATGATGTCTGTGTGTCGGTGTGTCTGTGTGTGTGTCTGTATCCACCATAACTCATGAACCGATACAAAGAAAAACACCAAATTTTAAACTTAAGCTTTATTCCGGCGTTCAATGAATTGATTAGATTTTGGGCAGAGTTGGAACATCTAGGGGGTACTTTATAGGTGGTCATTATATAATATAATTTTCTATAATTTTTATCTTATAAATAATGTGTAAATTTCGAATTTTTAAGAAAACTCAAAAACGGATAAGGGAAAAAACATTAAATTTTAAACTTAAGTTTTGTTTCGGCCTGACGTGAAATGATTAGATTTTGGACAAAGTCGGAACATCTGGGGGGGTACTTTATAAAAGGCCGTTTTTATATTTTATGGAATATATCTGTTATTTATGTTTCGAGAAGAAAATTGTTTAAATAAAAGTTACTTCTAATATTATTATCTATAACTTTTGTTTAATGTCAAATTTTCCTGAAATGGTCCGTATTCGAGAAATTTGACAAAATGTGCAAAATTCTGATTTTTAAGAAAATTGTTAAATTAAAAGTTGTTTGCGATATCGATCTCTATAATTTTTGTTCATGCATGATTTTTCTAAAATGGACCGTAATGGAACAATTGGAGGAAAAGTGCTAAATTTAAATTTTTCAGTATTTTTGTTTTCAATGAATATCTATAGAAAAATGTTTCGAGTTAGATGTATGTGGAAAATGTATATATTTAGTTTATCCTCTAAACATTTATAAAGGTGCTGCAATAAGTTGCACAAAATAACCGGAAAAAACCTATAATAATTAGATAGGAAAGTCATGTGTTGGACACATCATATTTTTATATGGGTTTTCTATAAGGATTTTGTATATGTAATTTCTATGTGGAATTTTTATATGGACTTTATGAAATTTCTATGGGCAATTTTTATATGGACTTTCTTAATGATGATGTTTTTTTTTTATTTGCAATATCAGAAATTTAAAACTTTTACTCTATATTTTACGTGTAACGTTTGATTTTTTTCTTTTCTTCTTTTTTTCTTTTTCTGTTCACACACTAGACTACTAGATTAATAAGCACTTAAGTTATGACACATCATTGAGAAGGTAATTTTATGGAGAATTCATCAATATTTTTTTTATGTTTTGCAATAAATTATTAATAAAATTAGCTTCCAATTACTCTTACAATATAATGTTACGTGGTTTTCATGATATGACAATACTTAAAATTAAGCCACCTTGAACAGATATACAAATTTTCTATTGATTCTTAATAAGTTATTGCTTATTATTATTGCTAATTTTGTGTGCTATCACTATTTTATTTACCTTTAAGTGTCTGTACATAAAAAGATGACAAAAATATGAGAGGTTTGAAATCAATTCCAAATAGTTCTTCTCCAACAGATATAGACGGTACGTTCCTTAATACAATAGTTTTTTCAGGATGATCGAATTCAGAGTAGGTGATCCTTTTTAAGTAGTTGCTAACATATAGTGTCGTTACCTCTAACCAAGTTGCTTCGGGTGCTTGAGGAATGTTTATCCAAGAAAACATCGTCTAAACATAATTTTAAGCACACGTTCTTGCATTGACGAAAAATTTTTGGCAATATTCAAACCAAACGAATACTATGCAAGTAAATGGATTTAGAATTTTTATTTATCGATTTTAAACAGGCTTTTGACTCGATACAAAGCAACAAGATAATGGAAGAGATACAAGCCTTAAAGTTAAGAAGATATTTTATCAAAATGTCCAATGATAGTGTACTGGTAACTCAAAAGAAGGCAAAATAAAAGAAAAAAATTATCAAAAACATAATTCAAGATGTTGAAAAAATCTTGACCCTTCTAACTACAACCGGGGTACAATACATTTTTTTGGTAAATTTCTTAATAAGTGGTGGTTTTTGAGGATTCTAACGTTGCAATTAATCAGCACTAATGATATAGTGAGAGGATTTCAATTTATTATAAATGGACAATTACAAAATTTTAAGCTGTTGAAAACTATTTTTTTTTGTCAATTTCGTCATAAGGGGTAGTTTTTAAGGACTGCAACATTAGATCATACATAATGATCAGTATTATAATTTTTTTTTTTAATATTTGAACATAATTTTAATCCAAGCAATATGATTTTCAAATTTTTACCAAAAGGGATAGTTTTCAACTCCTAAAAATATAAAAGCCCATAACTTTTGAAGAGGAGGGTAAGATAAGCTTAATTACAAATTTTCATTCAAATCGGTGTAGTCCCAGAGAATTCTAAGATATTTTTACAATCAAACACTGGACTAGCAGGACCTTGATCAAAACGGTAGGATAATCTAGAATCCTACAACTAAAGAACCATACACAGAGGAAATCAGACAAAATAGTGTAAATAGATTATACAGGGGCGAATGAAAAAGTAATGGATTAAATTCGATATATCCATCTTTACTTCTAGCATCCAACTGATTTGAAAGTGAATAAATAGTATAAAGGAAATACCTTTAAAAAAATTGCCAAAAATTTTCGAAAAACTGTATTTCGAAAGCCCCTACCTTGATCTCTGAAAAGTCGAAATCAACAAAATGTGCTTAAAATATGCGAGCTAATAAAACACAAGAATCAGAATGCACATAATAAATATCGCGAGAAAAATATACGCCAGCACATGACTCTGGAGCGCCCCGAGACCGCATCAGAGACTGAAATCGGACTGATCGGCTAAGAACATCTTAGGGATATGGGGAATAAGTATATTTAATATAAAGTGGGAATTTGAAAAGTTGGAAGCAGCACAACTGTGCAGAAATCATATCATAAGCAAGATGGATGTGATTTGATAGCTAAAAATATATAAATATGTTTTCCTGTAAAAATTGGGTTATTTGTAACTACGCTGATTTTTATTTATGGTTTTGCTTAATGTCAGTACAATTTTGAAATGTCTATCAGTACATTTCACTACACGACGCCAACTATTTTGAATTTTTCATGTCATCTTTTAGATGCAAGTGACTGAAAAAATAAATAAAATATCTATCTTCATAAACAAGATTTTATCAAAAATAAGATGTATCTAAATTAGATACCACATGAATACAGTTACGAATTTGGAAAAAATCAACGATTGTTATCAGTAGTATATAAAACAGCTGGCAATACTGCCAATTTTTGTAACGAGTATGGTATAGTACGTAAGAACGGTAAATTAAAAATAAGGGAACGTTTTGAAATATTTTTTGTGTTACCTAAAGAGAAATTAATTTTTTTATTTGCAATATTTTAATTCGTTGGTCGAAGCCGCAATACAGTAAATCTTTTCAGAATAGAACGCAGGGAGTTTTCTATTAAGGTCAATTTATCAATTCTTAGTCTTATTAGAAGAGTACACCTTTATTATATTCGATTTATACAGGCAATGTCCAGAGTTAAAAATTTATAAGTATTCCGATGATACCTAGGTTTAGCTCTTTTTGATAAAAATAAGTTAGAAGAAGCTAAATGTACGATACATTCAAGTTGTCGGCACGAATAGGGTCATGGCACTACTTATGGCCACTACCCTACTTATGGCCACTTCTTGCTTTAAGATCTAAAAATAAACGTTAAGCAACAACGTAAACAAAAATGGTGTGTAGAGGAGGTAAATGAGCATGTGGTAACAAGATTGGGCAGGTTTGTAACTAATAAACCAAGTCCATTGGAAATCAGTAAAGTAGATAAATAGCATATATGTAATACATGCAAGCATTACTTGTTGTTTTGGATAAGAATTTGTCTAAACATCGTAAATAAAATCAGATTTATTAAGGAAATTTTTGAAAATTTGCCATTTCAGAGGTAAGTAGATGTTAATACCAATGTATTTTGTTTTCGACGTCACTTTTTTTTAAATAAAACTAAATATCAGGATGGCCATTAGTAGTGACTAAAAATTAAGAATTCGTGAGTTATGGTCACATGGGTGGCCAAAAGTAAAATCTCATACCTATTTTACTTATGGCCACTGCAGTTATTGTGTGGGTTGAGCAATTGAGCAATTGAGTTTTTTAGCTAAGATGAAATGTCACTGGCATCTGATAGCAGTGGCAGTTTCTCATATGTAGAACCAGCAGTGATTGTGCAGTTAGGCACGGTAGCGTAGATGTCTACGGCGCGGCATTCATTTGCGAGCCAATTTTCTGGTAAAAACGAGACACGGTTTCGAATCCTACGGAAAGACCATGTAAATTTATTTGCATGGTTTTCTATAGGATTTGATGAATACCGTATTAGCAGAAATTTAATTTCTGTTGATATGACATCTAGATTATTACGAATCGCCATGCGTTACCGTTTTCGATGATGGTGGGTAAGGTTTTCCGGGTTTTCCTCACCTGTAAGTCAAATGGCACCATCAATCATCTTTAAGTCGTCCCGGAGCGCCACAAGCTCAGCTTTTGAGTATTATTATAATTATTATTATTAAAACCGGGCGACTTTATATTGGTACAATTTAGTACCTGTGGTAAAAGAAGATCGACCGTGTATAAATATGTTGCAACTGTACGTCACACTATGGAAAATGAAATAGAAATCAAGTGCTTAAAAGGCACAAACAGAGAAAATACTACTTTTGAATATACTGTCCTCCTAAGCCAAAAAGCGGTATCTCAGTTGAAGCGAGTTTCGAGAAAATATCCATTTTCTAAAAGTTGTCTTCTTGTTACCTCCAGTTGGAAAAAAAAATATTTACTTTACTGGATTACTTTAAATCATTATTTCTTGTTTTTGAATATTAATTTTGAAATTCTTCAGTCATAAATGGATATGCAGTCATTTAGCTTAGTAATAATGACATACGTCTAAGCCTTTTAGTAAATACAAGTGAACTGGAGATATGTAAATTTGTCTTAGGTTCTGATTACGATTTTGCTATTTTTGTGAGTTGAACTAATGCAGTATTTTTCAAGATATGCAATCCGTTAAAAGACAAATTTTTTTTTTGAGATATCGCTTTTTGACTTAGGAGGGCAATATATTAAAAATGAGATTTTCACTGTTTCCATATCTAATGATTTAGGACTGTTAATCTAGCATTCTTTAGTAGAACAATGTTGAAAATTGGTTATAACATTTCCAGGAAGTGTTAATGTTCATGAAAAATAAATTTCATATTTTATCAAATATTAAATTTTTTGTACCCTATTATAAATCATTAATAAGTACATATATGTAAATTAAAATATAAACATGCACATAAATTAATATTTAAAAATGCCACTCAAAAATTAGTAAAGAACTAGTGGCGGACTGATGGCCAAAAGTAAAGAATTTCTTCCACTTTTATAAAAAAATGTAAAAAAGAATGACATGTTCTTAACAAAATAGATACATATACTGTTGAAAACTACTTACTTCAACCTATCAAATGATATTTTTATTTATTTTTTCTGTTATAATATTATTGAAAAATAGATCCCAAAAAAGCAATACATACTCCAACCTATCAAATGGTATTTTTATTTATTTTTTCTGTTACAATATTATTGAAAAATAGACCACAAAAAAGCATCTTTGCCTTAAGGTGGTCATAAGTAGTGACATGACCCTATCTGCTTCTGGGAGACTCTATTTGATTATCAATAGTTAAGAATTGAATGCAACTTTATTTGGCAACAAATGTGAATAGAAATTAAATTGCTTAAGATAATTTGCGTAATGATGACTGGTAAATATATTAATTCACGTTAGCTAGGCCTTTTTCCTGTAAAAAAGGGTATTAAAGGACGTACCTAGTGTACCTATCCCATGAACAGATATCAAATTCTCCACGGTAAGCGAGCAACAAATATTCAAAAATCAGAAGATAAAATAACGTAGTATGCCATGTTTTCAAAATTTTTGGTTGTTTATCAACAAATATAAACGTCAGTATCGGCGACGATTTCCACACCGATAAGTTCCAAATCATCAAACATTCAGTGTTGTGTTTCGACATATTAAAACACATGGCCTACTACGTTAATTTACCTTCTGATCTTTGGACGCTTGTAATATTTTATTTTTTTTTGTTTTAAACGAACTCCGGAGAATATGCTATTTAAGCATATAAGGGTTGTTTATAAGATTTGGCAATGCAGCAAGTTAAACACCAAATCAAATTTAATTGTTATGATAGTTCATTTATCATGTTGAAAGAATATTTTTGGCAAACCTATCTTGGCCGTGTTTACTTCAATTCATCTTTCATACGGATCAACAATCAACATATTTACAGCCCAGAGTTGGAAAATACATTTCTTTTTTATTAAAATTCACTTATTATAGAATTTAATCAAGAAAAATAGAACGGGTACATAAATATTTGGGATATGGCTTGACAGGCTAGGAAATCTATAAAATGAAATAACTGATAGTTCATAATAATGGTGAGATTGGTGAGTAAGGTTTTACAGGGTTCCTGACTTGTAAAGTCAAATGGGGCCATTTATATTTCACTCGTAAGATTTCACTCGTAAGGGGGCGAATTGTAGGAAATTTATTATTATGAGGAAAAAATAAATAAGAAAACTAACTTTCGAAATACTGCAAAAAGTTATCTAAAAACATGAGATCAGAAGGAGTTGGATTTTCAATATCCAACTGTCAGTGCCATTGAGAACAATCCACTCCAATGATTCGTATAACGAAACAAATATAATAATAAAATAAATAATCAAAATATCAATCTATAGTATCACCGTTAAAATTTGTATCATTTTATGGGAATTTTTTTATAATTTAATTTATGCAAATTTAGAATTCATGAAAACTTTTTACTTAGAAAATAATAAATAATGACGTTAACGAATACTGACCTGTCACGTTACCTCCTGTACTTAATAATGGGATATTGTTCAACTGCACGGGTCTGAATACTTGTTTGGTGGTCTGTGTACTGGTCACTTTTTCTTGGATTTCAGTCTGAGATATTACTTCACTAGTTTTTTCAACCTAGAACAATAAAACAAGTAAATATTTGAATCATCTTCGTCATCATCATCATCTCTTTCATTCAATTTCAAGACTTTCAATAAACAAATATATTGCACTATAGTAAATATCATAAATTTAACTTAAATCGATAAGTAAATACACAGGGCAACAATGATAAATGATAAAAACTCAATCCCATCAACCCCCTATGCGCCAATGGATGATAAGGGCTATATATGTAGATAGTTTTGATCCTTGAGATACATCTGATGTTATTCAAATTGTTTTCCCAAAATTCCTCGCATAACAAAAATATTTATGTCAAAAACGAATTGCCAAATCAGATCAAATTTATTATCTAGAATACCATCTCAGATGTTGGTCAACCATTAACCGTAAATGTATTTTCTAGAAGCCCCATCCCATATTAAAATGCCATCTCAGATATTGGTCAACCATTAACCATAAATATTTAATTTTTTCTTTATTTTTGTATCATTTTACACTGACAACCAGGCTCTATTACAGTTACGATTGTGAAGCTTTTAAATTTGTTGATTTGGTTAATCAGCATTAATAAATGAAAGACTGTTA